AAAAGGGGGATGGATTCTCCAGTCATGACATATGCCTGTCTTTATTCATTCTCAGATGTTGTCCAAATCATCGATTATATGCAACCCCTCTGATGCGTTATGGTTTTGGTGACACAAAGACGGGTCCAAATTCGAACTGGCGTTTGGGGGGGCATTTCTTTTAAGAGGCATTTCGGCCACGCCGACTCTCCTCACCGCACCCCTACCGGGCTTGCGCCGGTTGCACAGCTACGTCCGCGAGGATCAGGCTGGCGCAGTTGGTTGCCTCTGACGGCGAACCAGTGTGTGTGTTGAGGGAGGCCGGGGGTTGGGGGGCGGCGAACAAGGGGGCCCGCCAAAGACCGTGGGACGGGCCTCCCGGGCGAAAAAGCGCTTGACCAGCATGAGCATGTTCACCGCCCCATTGACGTCGCGGTTGACAACGTTGACCTTGCAGGCCGGGTTGACGCACCGCTTGGTGTCCCACACGTCCACCAGCTTCTCCTCGCCGTTGCGGACCCGGACGTACTGGTGGGCGTGCAGGGTGGCATGACAGGCGCAACATAGTTTTGATGACCTGTGCTCGTTGACCACCACCACCCTGCACACCCGCCCCAGGCGCCGCAAGAAGCGTATCCAGGGCCCAGGCGGGGGCCCTCGCATGATGGCCCCCCGGTCCTGGGCCGACCAGTTGCCCACGCCCACGACCGTAGTCATGCCCGGGGGGGGGCCGGAACTGCTCCGCCAGCCGGTTGATGGCCCACTCCCAGCCGACGTAGGCCTGGTGCCGCAGCTTGCGGAACGGCTTCCCGTCCCTGTGCCAGGCCAGGCCCTGTCGCAGGTTGGGGAGGATCCACGCGACCCGCGACAGGAGCACCTCTGTGCTCGCTGTCTCAGAGGTCGGGCACCTGTGGTAGTGGCGAGGGGGGGGGGAGGGGGGTTTCGCAAGAGGGTTGATACAGGTTGGAGCGATGCGTGGTGTCGTGACAAAGTGCCCGCCCCTGCGAGGCATACCCCTGCATACACTCCACAAACCAATCACCACTCACTGGTGCAGCTTCTTGACTAAGGGTGGGGCCTTTGCGTGCCAATTCGCAATGGTCTTCTGCCGCCGCTTGGACCCCGACATG